TTTAACTTCTGCTATGATAACAGGGAGCTACTTGCCACAGTGAAAGATGTTGAAATGCAGAACTTCATTGCCCAATTAACTAGAGATAACATTGACGCTAATTACGTCTGGATCGGTGCAAGGGAAGGTCTAGACTGGAAATGGAGACAAAGTAAGTTCTTTATAGTGTTAAGCATATTCAATATTTAATCCAGAACATGTAAACGTATGCGTATTTCATACGGGGAAAAGATTTCATCAAGACGTATATAATTTCAGCAGGTTCACGTTTTTTAACTTTTTTTTCATTTTCAAATTTTAAAACATTTACAATAGATATTCGGTTCAGCAACGTCAGTACCTTTGGCATGTTTTGGGGGTAATTATGTTCGTGTAAACCTATGTATGGTATATGACACAATCTTGTACATCAAGAGTAAATGAGCGGATAACTATGCATTGTTATTTTATTACGTAAGTCTCGGTTCGAGACTACATGTGAGAGCCCGTTCTACGCATGCGCAATTTAGTTTTTCGCATTGAATGTATCGAGGGTGAGATTACAATCTTATTCATTCTTTATTTATTATGTCTTCACAAAATCGGTCAGTTCTTGATTTACTAGGTCTTGGATTAGAATCTAGCTAAAACACAAATGGAAGAGAAATCTAAACTTAAATATAAGTCACGTCTGATATGTCGACGACACATTCGTCATTTGGCCACATAGCAGACGTGACTGAGACCACTTCCTCGCCCACATCAACCAGCATCACCCAAGCATCAAATTCACCATGGAGACCGAGCAAAACAACAGCATCCCCATGATCCCCTTCCTAGACGTCCTCGTTACCAGCTACACCACCGAAACAAAATATGTTTGTTCTACCCTATATCGGTCAAGCCTTTCATAATATTCAACGTATCCTTCAAGCAGCAGACATCCAAGTTCGACACAGCTCCTCCAAAAAACTCCATTCGATACCCAACTCCCACAAAGACAAGCATCCAAACCACAAGAAAGCTGGAGTCTACAAAATACCAGGCGAATGTGGAAAAGTCTACATTGGTGAAACGAGGAGAAATCTGGAAAGAAAACTCAAGGAGCACAGAACCAGCTTCACACTCGCCATCGTCAAACACGCCAAGCAACACGAACACACCATCGAAAACAGTCATCTCATCTCGATAATGAAGCACTGGCATACACGCCGAATCCGAGAAGCCATCGAAATTCACCGCCACTACACCGTGCCCCAAGACTCAGGATTATACATCAACGACATCTGGAAACCCCTCATCAACAAGTACCCGGTCACTCCTCCTCCACCACCGCCTCCACAACCACCTTCACCACCCCCGCAGATAGCCATACATCAACCACCACCACCCGGCGAACCCTCAAAGCAGCCACCAGCCTCACAGCTTAATACAGAGCAGACGACAGCAGACTACAACGCCGCCTACGTCAGGGACACACACAGCGTCTCGACGACAGCACACCCCACTCATGGATTCGAAACTCCCCCAAGTCCGCAACCCGGACACTCAAGCCCAGGCGGACAAGCAGACGGACGAGCAGACCCCCCATGTCCACTCCCCGATGACTCATATGGCCCCGAATAGTCCCATTGTACAACGCCCCTATCGTCATGTTAGCCTGTGGAATTTTACCCCCAAAATCGTTATAAATTCATTTTTTGTTTAAACGAAAAGTACATCCACCCCGACGTACGTTGACACAAGCTCTTTCATTGGAACCCTCATGTCCCATTGACTTTTGAAAGTTTACCCACCGTAATTTGGTCAAAATAGGTCGCCAGCTCACCATTGCATTTATATCACATGTGCAACAAGTCGAACTTTGGACGCAATTTGCCACTCGATTTTAAGGGTATAACTCAAGCACACGAAGGATAACAAGTGTAGTGGTACGCTGATTTGGGCAACACATTGACCTAAAGGGGGCGCTAGAGCCATAGAGGAGCCGGGCTTGGTTGATTAATTGTACAGTTATTAGTTTGACTTAGCAATTATTATGTTTCCAATAGTATGCCGGGAACGGGTAAACAACCCCTGGTTTTGAATTCTTGCATTAGATGAAAGTGTTCATTTCGATAAGCACGCTGGAAATGAACATTGTGCACCCGCAAGCCTATGTATATCTACATCACCATGCAAGCCGATAAGTACAAGCAGCATCAAATCTAAACTCGATTCCAAGATTTCTTCGCAGTCGATTTCGACATGTGCGAACGAAAACAGCACGGGTGTCGCTGCTCCTACAACGCGGCAAAAAACGCACCGAAAAAGTCAGGCAAGACGAAGCCTTCTGCGTCTTCTACAGGCAAAGGAAAATGCCTACTCCACATAATACGGCAGATGCCGATCCGGATCTCGCATCTCGAATGCAGAAACTTGAAAATATGCTGGCTCAACTCGTTGAGACCGTTCATGCACAGCCCCCGCCTTCATGAATATGTTTATTTGGATGGTGGAGACGTATCTCCGAACTCTCACCGCCACGGCAAAGGCCGCGATGATTCCGCCGATCTCGGTGTCAAAGACGGGCCGAAAGTTTAAACACCGGACGAGCGTTGCCGTTGACACGGGCGAACATCATGTGATGATATGACTACAGGTCTTTAAACATCTTACATGTAGTCTCGAACCGAGACTTATGTAATAACATAGAAGGATTAAATGAGAACTTACCGTTTGAAGTTTAATCCTTATTTGATGAGTAAGTTGAAGGAAGATAGTACATGCCCACCTCTCCCTCCCTTACTCACAGCCCAAGTTTGAGCGGGTTTCCAACGGTAAAGAGATTCATCCTTCTTGTTACCCTGTAGTCACATCATTATTTGAAATGTGCGCATGCGTAGAACGGGCTCTAGCATGTATCTCCCTTCAACTTACAAATAAAATAAGGATCAAACTTTAAACGGTAAGTTCTCATTTAATCCTTTTCTTTCATATATATACCTGATTATGTTATCCCCTACGATGAGAATTGAGAACAATTGACGATCTAACGCAAGTTTTAAGACTTATGACAGTGTTTATCAATTTTTATTAATCAGGTGACACATACATCGCTCGCTTCTTTTGGGAAAAAGCATACCCTGGTTCAAGCTCGGGAGATTGCATCGAGTTATCAAATCAGAATGATTCAGGTGAATTCGCATGGAGTCCTAGGTCACCAGGAGACGAGATTGGTGTGCTATGCCAATATAGTGAGTATAAGCAACTTTGGCTCTTACTAAAAATAATGACTTGACCTCTGTTCTCGCGACATGAAATTTACATTCACGAATTTCGTCACTCAGGTTATTGTGATTAATTACTTTTACAAGAGGAAGCTTTGGAGAATCTTAACCTCTCACAAATTTGAAAATGTTCTTATTTCGTATTGATTTTCTTAGGCTACAATTTGTAAATATCTTGGAGATTTGCAAGGAGTCTTAAATACAACGAGATCAGCGGACGAGAGAGTAAGGCGTTACTTAATTTTCCATTGTTACAGTAAACATTACGAATATGATGTTGTTACGAGATTTGATTTAACTATAAAGGTATTCCAATTAAGAGTGTTTTGAAAAGAAAACAAAATTAGACATTTGTAGATATATTACTAGATTTTATAAAAACGACCTCGTGATAATTTCCAATTAAAAGATATTCAACACAAACTGTTTTGAAACTTTACATTTCTGTACTGTGTATGCCATAACAGCATAATGTTTCCAACGTGTGCATATCCTTGTCGAAATTCAAGTTGATTAAAAGCAGACGTATCGCAAGGACGCTGATAATAAATTGGCAACTCTTTTATGTGTTTAATTAGCTAATTCTTTTCATGATTTTTTTTTTGAAGTCTTCTTTTTTTTTAAAGAAAGGTCATGCATCTGTCGAATCATGTTTGTGCAATCTTTAGATCAAACTTGCCAGAGAGTTGGACTTAACCAATCCGACACGTTGCTAGAATACATGGACACCTGTTTCCAATTCTTGGATGTTTCGATGAACTGTGATGACGGGGCCGAAGAGTGTAATGGGAGAGGAGGATTTCTGGCTGAAATACTCGATGAGAGCACTAATGCTTTATTGCTGGACCGAGCCCTGTATCTGAGAAGCATAGGTGTAAACACGGCCTGGTGGATCGGTGGTTATGACGAAGACGTTGGACGGTCCTGGTATTGGTCTGATAGTACGTGATTTCTCAGAAACTATTTAGACACAAATTCGAACGATATACCATTAGCCACTTTGCAATGCCAATACAAACAACTTTCAATTTAAATTCTTCCTATTTTAACACAGGAATTGAAATGAGTTTAGAGATATTATACAATATGGACTTTATTGGTCATGAATTTTAAAGTCTGTTGGCATTATATAAGTAATTCGTTGCAGTCCAAAACTAATACAAATAAATTGTTTAGTGATTGGGAAATCGATTAGCAGAATGAGATCCTCGATTACTTGAATTGTATGAAGAGGTTATTAGTAATGTATTTTATAAATTGCTGCAAAGTAATATCAAGGAGCTTTTTATTGCTTTCAAGATTGTTTTCCTCAATTCATTCAATTACAAATAAATAAAAGATACATTAAACAGTTTTTTTTTATGAAAACACGATTTTAAACTACACGTCCAGCTGAAACTAAGCAATGTAAAAAAAAATGCCAAGAACTTACACACTCTATACTGGGCACATCTTGTATGCTATAAATGCAAAACCTGAACCACACAAGACCCAATATTAATTTCTAAAATTTATTATTCCAAATACAGATCAGCATGGACTAGTAAAATTGAAGCTAGTATTTTTTTATATTAGGGCTTTCTAATGGAAGTAGAAATCAGACCAAATTCCTAAGGCATAGGAGGACATCATATTCACCATACCATTCATCTCTTTCTTCAGAAACTCGAATGAACTATGAGGAATGGAGCGATAACGAACCTAGTAGTAATACCGAAGACTGTGTAGAAATGAGAAGGGTATTTCAGTACCAATGGAATGACCGACCTTGTTCAGTCCGAAGTCGGACTCTATGTCAAATTGGTGAGAAAATGTGAAATATACTTTTTGAATATCTATTAGGGGGTTATGGGCTTGTACAAAAATACAAACGTACTATATTAGACGACTTCTTTGAACAGATGACAAGGATTATAGCTGAGGTGATTTGACAATATTTGAGCCATCAAAATATTGTATATTGTTCAAAGATTATGATACATCATGTATATTATGTACTATTTTATGTACGTGAATGAAGGAATGGATAGAATACTACGGATAAATTAATTATTAGAATAGATGTTTCAGTGATAAGAATAACGATTGTGTCTTATATATCTTGAAGGAATTCCTGCCTGCGGTGACCCAGGTGAACCTTTGCATGGTAATCGTTTACCAGACGATAGAACAACTTACTCTGTCGATGCTACTCTTCATTTCACCTGTCAGGAGGGCTATACATTATCGGGAGAAAGCGTTTTAAGGTGTATGAATAATGGAGCATGGCATCATCAAAGACCATCGTGTGAAGGTAAAGTGATTGTTTTGTCAATATAATGGAACTCAACCAAATACTTATTAACAAATGTTGAAACCCACAAAAGTAGCAGTAATACATAGGCCTATCAGTACAACAATCTTTTCATTAAAAAATACTTCTGATGCATAAAGTACACACACACACCCACATCTATCTATATGAGTATCTTTTCCCGGTTCGGAGGTTGATTGCAACATCTCTCCATTTCACTCTTCTGCCATTCTGGTGCACTCTTGCAGTTTTAGTCCACTCCAGTTCTTGACATTCTCTTTCCAGTTGATTATGGGTCTCCCTCTACGTCTACTTCCTTCCACTCTTCCCTCCAACACATCCTTCAAAAGGCTCTGGTGCCTTTTAACATGACCAAGTTTTTTAATTTCTCTCTCTTTAACTAATCCCACTAGTGCAATTTGTTTACGCCCCGCCTTGTGCAATATCTCTTTGTTGGTTTTCTTTCGTTTCCAGGATATTTTCATCATTCTTCTGTAGATCCACATTTCAAAAGACGTTATTCTATTTTCCATGGCCTTGTTTATTGTCCATCTTTCTGCTCCATACAATAGGACAGACCATACATAACAGTTTACTAGTCTCAACCTAAGCGCAAATTCCACCTTTCTATTTGTGAATAATCCTTTCATTGCCAAAAATGTATTCTTCTTTTTATTTCTGCTTCGCATCTGGCATCATCTGTGATATTTTGTCCTAAGTAGATGTAATTACTGTGATATTTTGTCCTAAGTACATGTTATTACTGATATTACAATGATATGTCCATCGAGTTTCAAACATATTATAGGCTTATTCTCTGTTTTACTAAAAATCATTGACTTAGTTTTCTTGACATTCATGCTTAGACCAAACTCTTCACTTTTGACTTTTACAATATCCAATACATGTTGCAACTCTGCTTCATTCTCTGCGCAAAGTACAGTTTCATCAGCATAACGTAAATTATTAATAATTACACCCCCAATACTAACACCTTTCATATCTGAAATTCACTGAATACCAACTCTGTGCACCAGGGGCGTAAATCCCGGGGGATGGGGGGCTGCATCCCCCTCCCCCCTGGCTTGAAGTAGGGGGTGGCCTGTACAATCATTCCCCCCCCCCTGATTTTATTTTATTTTTTTAAAGAGAGAGAAAAAAAGGAAGAAGAAGAAGAAAAAAATGTGATTGTTACAATTTTAGCATAATGCATGAGAAATGAGTTATTTTTTTAATGTATGTATAATAGCCTACACGTATACAGTATGTCACGATCAGTAGTTGCGCGACGTGCGCGAACAAGCACTTCATAAACTTCAGAATAATTTTTCGTTATTTTGCAAGGTATTATTATAGCCCAGACGTAAAGTGCGCCAGCGCGCGAGGGCTTAAAAAGTGTAATCATGTACAGTAGATGCCCGGCTCCCCCCACTTAGTGTTATTTAGGGTACGCGTACGCTCGTTCCCTCTATTTGAAAGCACCCCCCCCCCCCCACCCTATCTCAGGACTGCCAACATTTCTGAATCCCCCTTTCGCCGGCTTTTCGCTGGCTTTTCCTACCTTGGAGACCCCCCCCCCAATCCGGAACACTGCTAAATGTACCACCCCCCCCCCCCCCCCCAAAAAAAAAAAAAAAAAAAAAAAAATTCAGGTGAGCTCTAGTCGATTAAGGGGGACAGGGGGCCAATGCGTTTACTTTTCAAAATGAAATATTCCTGAATGAGCTTTAAAAGCTAGCAGGAATTTCAGGAATTTGATCCCGGGATTTGATCAATTTTTCTATGATATTCCAGATATTTTATAACTTCCTTTTTACATTTCTCAGGAGTCCAAACAGAGAGAGAAAAAACCCCACCCCCTTTTTAAAGAAATTAAGAGTCGAGAATGGTACAACGAATCGTCTTCTTTCTCTAATGATTTAATGAAACGTAATAGCTTCCGCGCTTTGCGCGGGAGGGAGGGGGGGGGGAGGAAAAAACTGAATTCAGATGAGGATTAAAAGTCGAGAACGGTTCAACGAATCGTCTTCTTTCTCTAATGATTTAATTAAACGTAAAAGCTTCCGCGCTTCGCGCAGGAGGGGGGGGACTGAATTCAGACGAGGATTAAGAGTCGAGAACGGAACAACGAATCGTCTTCTTTCTCTAATGATTTAATGTAACGTAAAAGCTTCCGCGCTTCGCGCGGGGGGGGGGACTGAATTCAGACGAGGATTAAGAGTCGAGAACGGTACAACGAATCGTCTTCTTTCTCCAATGATTTTATGAAACGTAAAAGCTTCCGCGCTTCGCGCAGGCGTGGGGAAGGGAAAAAATGAATTCAGATGAGGATTAAAAGTCGAGAACGGTACAACGAATCGTCTTCTTTCCCTAATGATTTAATGAAACGTAAAAGCTTCCGCGCTCCGCGCGGGAGGGGGGGGGACTGAATTCAGACGAGGATTAAGAGTCGAGAACGGTACAACGAATCGTCTTCTTTCCCTAATGATTTAATGAAACGTAAAAGCTTCCGCGCTTCACGCAGGAGTGGGGAAGGGAAAAAATGAATTCAGATGAGGATCGAAAGTCGAGAACGGTACAACGAATCGTCTTCTTTCCCTAATGATTTAATAAAACGTAAAAGCTTCCGCGCTTCGCGCGGGAGGGGAGGGGGGAACTGAATTCAGACGAGGATTAAGAGTCGAGAACGGAACAACGAATCGTCTTCTTTCTCTAATAATTTAACGAAACGTAAAAGCTTCCGCGGTCCGCGCGGGAGGGGGGGAGACTGAATTCAGACGAGGATTATGAGTCGAGAACGGTACAACGAATCGTCTTCTTTCTCCAATGATTTCATGAAACGTACAAGATCCCGCGCTCCGCGCGGGAGGGTGGGGGGACTGAATTTAGACGAGGATTAAGAGTCGAGAACGGTACAACGAATCGTCCTCTTTCTCCAATGATTTCATGAAACGTAAAAGATCCCGCGCTTCGCGCAGGAGGGGGGGGAACTGAATTCAGACGAGGATTATCTTCGAGAACGGTACAACGAATCGTCTTCTTTCTCTAACATTGTTTGTTGTTTGTTCGTTTGTGTGTGTGCGTGTGTGTGCGAGCGTTTGTGTGTGTGTGTGTGTTCGTTTGTGCGTGCGTGCGCGATCGCGCGCGCTTGCGTAATTTAGTGTGGGCGTGTGCTCGTGCTAGTATGTGATGGCTATCGCCGATCATCCCCCCCCCCCCCACTCCTCGGTACGGATTTACGCCCCTGCTGTGCACAAGTTGAACAGAGATGGTGACATTACGCATCCCTGACGTACTCCTCTTTTGATTTTCATTGTTAATTTTGATGGCAGCTGTCTGCTCCCAGTAAAGTTTAGATATGAGACGTATGTTCTTACCATCTAGATTAATTTTTGTAGGCTTTCAATCAATTCACATACATACACATATGGCTGCTTTCATCATCCTCAACGATATCAGACTGACAGTGTGCAACCGTGAAGATGGAACTGATGGAAATTGCCCGTTTGTATGCAGTGTGACGGTAGTCATGAAGAGATTCAACACTTCTGGCCCCATAAAGGCTTCCCCGGCTCTTTTGTTTTACCTCGTCATGGGTGCTTTCACTGCGAATATATCAAGTTGCCCGAGAAACTAGCATGACTAGTAAGTCTGTGTCCGTATGTACCAACGACAACAACGGGCACCTGTTCTGACTCTGCTACTGCTTGTGCTGTAGAGACAATCAGGGTAGTGGCATCCGCTTCTGCCTGCTTGATACGTATTTTGTCACGTAGAGTTTGTATAAGTCTCACTTACTATTGCTGTTGGCTAGGAAAGCTGTCTTGGTTGTGCTTGTTGGCATATTATCAAATAAAGAGGTACTTCTCTGGGCTTTTCGTTGTGGAAGTTGCACTTCCATATCCATCGGACACCACCGTCAAATGAGCTCCATAATGCTTAAGGGTGTATAAAATATATGAGTGAACAAATTCAGCTTAGGTTGACAGTTGTGGCCGAACTACTGATTGCAGTAGGCGACCACTATCTTAAACAAAGAGACCATTTCTGGCAGGTTGGATTGCTTGGTGAACGAATTTAGCAGGAAACCCAGAGAACTAATTTTTGGCTTCCGCATCACCCTACCTTTGAAAGGGAAAGTGCCTGGGATTTAGTTCATAAGCAAAGAACGATTACATCTCAGTGTTGTTATTCAGGACAAATGTGATTATGTAGAACAGTAGCGCTGGGTTGACTTATGTACTTTGTCCCCTGATTTTCACTCTCTTACTCTTGGCGCCAATGGTCTTCACCTTGTCCTTACGATGTACGTAGCTTGATATCTGTAAACTTCCTATCATGCATTCGTTTCGGATACCGCTACTAGGCCGATTTTTATAGGTTAATCACAATTAATAGATTAGCCAGCAACGATGCCAGGAGACCAGAAGATGGAAGGAAACCAGGCAATTAGTTTCATATCCAGCAAATGGTGATGTGCTTGCAGCTATCCAACAAAGATACATCTATCTTTATTGTCTCTTGACCTGGTACTTTGCTGTATGTCTTTATGCTGCTCTGATGTACCAGTGTGTACTCCGGTGAAGTGTCCCAGTTCATCACAGGTAGGAACACAGCGAGGAAGTGCATGAACCCACTTAGCCAATGTACTGTCTGTGATTCCACGTCCACGAGTCATTTCTCTAGCTGAGATGGAGCTTCCAGTCCCCTGTCCTTTTAGCTGGAATAAAAAATTTGCAGAAGATACATATAATTGTCGGATATACTGCAACCAAAGTTTCCCTGTCCTACTTGTTGTCCTGCTGCCCGGTTAATGAGTTGTGAAATGATCTGACTTTAACTGTTTGACACACTCTTCTCAGGTACAGCAGTCACCTTCTTGTCCTGGTTAAGGAGTGCACCATACAGATTCGCTAAGTGGTCCTTATCTAAGCTGTCTAAGACGCCAGGTCTACCCATCAACACGCCAATGAGGGCGGCTGAAGTAAGAATGTGAGCACGAAGAGAAGGGGAAATGCATGAC